ACACACACACACACACACACACACACACACACACACACACACACACCTGTCCCTTTCTCCACAGTCACAGCTCTTTGTCACTGCTCCAGATTCAGATTTGAAGGTTTTGCCAACAGCCAAGATTTATTTGAGCTTTCAGACTCTTGATCTGAGCGTTTTGGGGCCCTCAGAGTTCATCCAGTTGGATTTATTTTTATTTTTGGGGGATTTCTTGCCGGGTTGTTCAGCTGCAGGATGGGAGCGATGATGGCGGCTCTCTCTGTGGAGGCCCGGAGGCGCCTCTCCCGGCCCAGCTGCCTCTCTCACAGTGCAGCCAGGTACCATCGCTCAGGTAGGCCCGGGTCAGGTCCCAGTCCCACCTCCAGGCTTAGGTCTGCACTCTGGTTATCATCACCAGATCATTAGTTCACAAACYGTTCTTGAAATAACTTTTAATTTTCACCAGTGCAATTTCAGCTTCAACCAGATTRAGTGATATATTATTTAAATGGGTAATAAATATTTACCTCAGTCCTGGTTTTGTAAGTCTGTAAAGCACCGCTTTGTTAAAACGGCTGCTTACATCAGCAGATAACTTTGATTCCTCAACGCTGATGAGATTTCTGCAGCATTAATCACCATTTAACAGACGTTTGAACGTTCAGCAGATTAAAAAAAAAATAATTTCAGCCAGTCTTTCATCTCTGTGATGTGCCTGACTGCTAGGAAACCATCTGGATCCTCTTTCTCTATTTACGGACTGTTGTGTCAGCAGGCAGGACCAGGTCTACCTTTTAAAAACCTGCTCTAATGTGGTCTAATGGCCCAGCACACACACGCACACACACACACATACACGCAAACTCAAGCATCAGCATACAGAAAAGAACATTTAATTGTTCAAAATTGCTTGACACATGAATTGAATCAGTGTCACTCATAGATTTGTGATGTTTTTAATATTTGGCTTCAGTGTTTCCATGAAGCTAAATTAGAAGAGTGAGGGAACTCCTCATCTTCATCACTACAGGAGTATTGATCTCTTCTTCCCATCTCCAGGCAGGTCAGTTATAAACACACACCTATACCGACACGCTGTGTGCTGATGCACCAGGAAGTGCAGAGTCATCATTTATCCTCTTTTGACCTAAACACACACAYATKYWCAMAMACACACACAYRTKYWCAMAMACACACACACATGTTCACAAACACACACACATGTTCACAAACACACRCTYGGTAATATTTGTCCAGGTGGTCTTTGTTTCAGAAAACCAGTAATATAATCCAGTAGTGCATTTGAAATAATGGGCACGGTGCCTGTAACTGGATCTACAGTGTGTTTTCGTCCACGCTCCATCTGTGGTTTTTATAACCGTATCATGTCTGTAAACGGCAAAAAAGAAAAATGTAAGACATGCATACACAATCGGAGGAGAGGCATTTATTATTATTATTATTATTATTACAGGAATCTGTCTGGAAGTTTCGTGGATCGTTACTTAGTGGATTTGTCAAAAAAATGTTTGAGTAAAGAGAGTCTAAATCAAAGCGAGCGTGAGGGTCAGCAGAGAAACAATCAGTCGCTAATTAGACTGTCGTTTGTTTTCTATTTCCTGAATCCATCAGATGTCAGGTGTGGAAGTTGGTGTGTTTTCAGTGAGAACCTGAGAGGGATGGTTCACAAATCTCAAACTGATACAATTACCACCAGTGCCACTCRGGATTCCTCTACTGGTACTCCAGTGAAATTCACTGTTTGAGTTAAATAAGTTAAATAATAATCATTAGCTGAACCAGATAAATGTGTGCTGAAGGATCTGAGCTAAAGCTAAAAGAAGCAGAATACTTACACCAAAAGTATCAAAATTTGAGCTAAAAGAAAAAAAATGCCAGTTAAAAGCATCAAAAGACTTGCTAAAAACCTAGTAAATGGCTACACTAAAGATAAAAGTGTCAAAATAAAAGCAGAAGCTAAAAGAAGCAAAAATTAAACTAAGACAACAGAAGACTTGCTAAAAGTGGAGAACGAGAAGCTAAAAGTATCACGGGTCTAGTCAGAAGCTAAAATAGAGCTAAAAGTTTCAAAAAGCAGAACTAAAGTGTCGAAGATTTTGCTAAAACAACAGAGCCAGTGATTATTTCAAAGACTAATACTAAATGTAATGAACTCAACGTATTCTGAAAAATTAGTGAAAAAAGTTTTTTTTTTGGTGTAAAAGTTTTTTAAGCAAAGGTTTTATTATTTAAAAGCAGTTTATTGACGAGTGTCTGCAGCGTGAAGGTATTAAATGTAGTAAGAATAGTGAGATATGTAAATAAATACTGAAAAATACACCAAAAAATAAACTAAAAAGGTCATTTTTAAATGTGAAAATTCATAAACAATCCACAAACTGCAGGACAACTAGAGAAAAGTGCAACAAAAACTAGATGGTATCAAAAGTTCTACAAGAAAATAAAACAGAATAAAACACAAAACTATCAGCAGAAGCTGTTTTATTGAGACTGACAGACTTTATTTTATCATTTGATTTTCTAAGGAGACACTGAGGTAGATGCTGAAAGAAGAGACAGTCTGAGGAGAAAGTCTGCAGAAAGTTATGACTGAGATGAGGAAGAGGATGATGCAGATTAGATGGACTGAAGGTTAAGAAGGACAGGAGTGGCAGAGTAAACAAAGACAACGAGACAAACAGGATGTGCTGAAGTTTCCAGCAGGATGCTGACTGACTGAGTCAAACGAGAAGTTGAATCTGGAAGCAGCAACAGATCTGTTCAGGAAACTGCAGAGAGAGAGAGAGGGAGAGATAGAGGGGGTGAGGAAGAGGAGGTTTTATCCTCGCTGCACCTCTCAGTTTCTCAGGACTTCCCTGCCTGGACTGGACACCATTAAGTGCTTCGTCTCCAGAGTTTCCATATCTGCGTTTGGCCTGAACTTAACCGTGAAGCTGAATCTGGAAGCTCTTGCTGAGGATTACGGCTCGTTGAGAAGGAAACCTGGCGGCAGACGTGGTTGTTTGGATGGTTTAGATGAGTAAAGAAGCCCGATCAGACTGTTTGATTTGGACTGAAGACTTGATGCCTCCAGCACATGTTCGCAGAGGGTTTCTAGTTTCAGATGTGAGGTCTTATGAATTGCTGATGATGCTTTTAATGGGCTRATTTATTAATAACTGTATGTTTGTTTGCATCCAGGATGAGAGGACTGGTGCTGGAGTCAGATGCTCTTTCATTCACTCAGTCTCCTTCCAGTTAATGAGGGTGAAATCGTAAAAATGGACGCTGATGCTCCGTACATTTTCAGATCCCTCTGAAATGTGTTTTGTTCTGGTGAATTATGGCGTGAGGAGCGATGTGGATTAGGAGGCTGAGCAGGAACTTGAAAGTCTGAAAAGTGACCCTGAACGCCTCGTTTTAATGCACTCTGATAAATGGAGCTCCTGTTTCTCCTCGCAGCTTTACGGGGGAAAGTTTTCCATTTGTGTCCAAATACTTTCCAGATCAGTGCTGACATTAAAGCAGACTCCGTCCATTTAACTGCTTCTGTTGTTGTGGGCCCGGGAACAAACTCAACCGGAGTGATAATAGAAGCKTCTGAGCTTTGCTATTGACCGGTGGGGTTCGGGTCGGTCCTGGCCTCGGTTTGTCGGAACTTTGTGTCTAGTCTTGGCCCTGAGCGGGGGTCTCCCTCTGTCCTGACACCATGGGCATCCATGGCATGGAGCTGTTCGCCATCGGCGTGGTYGTCATCCTTTTCATGGCCGTCCTCAAGCAGTTTGGCATCCTGGAACCCATTTCTTTTGAAGGTAAGCAGCAGAAAGCAGCTTGGACCTCTTCAAACTGGAGCTTTAGTTCGTAAACATCAAAGGATAACATTAAAGCCACGTTATAGTACATAATTTTATAATAACTCACAAATAAAAGTGTTTTTATTAGAAGCAAACTTTATTACAACATTAACCCTCCTGCTGCCCTCAGGTCAAAATGACTCTTGAGACCTTTTATCGCCCAATTCACAAAATTAAACACAACCTTTGTTAAATAATTTGTACTTTTATCCATTTAAAGTTTTCTTTGTACTAAAGTAAACACATCATCAATTCTAATGGTAATTTTCAAAGTATTTTTAAGATAAAAATGAAAAGATGACCTTAAAAATGTTTAAGCAATCAGCATTTTTCTAACTTCTTTGGAAAATATCGACCCACTTAYCAAACTTTTTTGTTCTTCAGCAAGTAAAAGTAGATTCAACAAATCCTCACAGAACAAAATAACTGAGTTTGTAAAAAAGACCATTTTTAAATTTTGAACGTGTTTAGGMCACATTTCATTGTTCATTAATTTGTCTTTTTATAAAATATCATTACAATTATCTAAATTATCAATGCACAGCAGTTAAAGTTACTTTCACAACCAGGTATTGTGGCTCATTAACAAGCAGCTCAGTTAAAATATATTGTTTTATGGGACATTATGGCTGCAAACATTCAGCTGATTCTGGAACCTGGACATAAATATTTAAGCTCTTTTTTTGTGAGTGTTTGATTTATTTTAAACTTGATCAGTTCAGCAGGTTTAATGATTATAGTAAAGAAAGCATGCAGGTAAAACTTGTTGAATGCTATCATTTGTGCATTTCCATGTCTTACAGTTCAATATTGAAAACATCATAGCTGTAATGTAGCTCAGTTGAATGTTTTTTTATATATTAATAAACATTTTTCTCTAAATCGATGTGCTCTCAACATCAGATTGAAAGAAAATAGGTTAATGGATTGTTTCATTGTTTTCCTGTCTCACCAAGCCTGGGCTGGCCGTGTGCATTTGGGAGAAATCAGATACTTTGCATGATGTAGCTGCCTTTGATTAGAGTTTTAGGCTAAAGGCCAGAGAGTCGGAGTGCCCTGCAGTCAGCGTGCCAAGACGATTACAGCCGGAAGGCTCCAGTCGGCACATTAGTGCTTCTCATATGGCCTGCCTTCATAAAGTAATAAATTCAACAAAAACACCCGTAATGTCCTTTTCATAATTTATCACGCCTTTCAATCTCTCCAGTTCCTTCAGTAGCTCCTCGCCGCTTCTCCTCCTCMTCATCCTCCCATGTGGCTGGGCATACACCCCGGTTTAGCATTACTTCACATCAATTATACATGCAGTATCGAACAGGCTTTTTTTTTTCCCGAGGCCACCTAAATATGGAACCCGGAGTACTCCTCCAGGACCCTGAAGGACACTGACCGTCCACTCGCAGCCTCCCAAATGTTCTCACCGTGTTGCTTCGTCATCGTTCCAGCCACTTCAGCTCTCCTCATCATCCTGTCCCAGAGGGACTAATTAATCATCAATAGCTCCTTGATCACCTTTATCCATTTCATGCATCCAGCCAGCATCTTTTCCCCGCGTCTTCTTTTTAGGGTTGCGGCGGGTCACTGGTGCTCATGTCCACCTTGGACAGGTGGTCAGTCCATCACAGGGACACATGGAGACAAACAACCATGATTTTGGTCTTTGGGAGGAAACTGGCGTACCCAGAGAAAACCCATGGAGAGAAAAACTAAAGTCCAGGAAGTCCTGATGCATCTCAGTAATCCAGGTAGAAAAAAATCACAAAGAAAAAATCAGTAGGTCCTCTGGATGGGTTCTTGTTTAGTGAAACGTTTCGTCTCTCCTCCAAGAGACTTCTTCAGTCTGATTTTGCATGTGACTAACCTGTTTGTCCATGTGGAGGCAGTGCTTATAAGGCTGAGTTCACCTGAAACTCATCAGACTGAAGAAGTCTCTTGGAGGAGAGGCGAAACGTTTCACTAAACAAGAACCCATCCAGAGGACCTACTTATTTTTTCTTTTTGATTTTTAAAGTTCGGGAAGAGCCCATTAGTTTAGATTACATTTTGATTCAGTAAATTCCAAACCCTCACCTTTTTTTGAGTGTGGATCATAAAAAGAAGAAGATCCTGGTCAGGATCAAGCAGCTGACAAGAGTTTTCTTCATAGGAGGGCCAAGCTCAGCCAGGGGGAGGAGCTCAGTCAATACGGGGGGAGCTGCTGCTCCTCYGCATCAAAAGGAGTCCATCGAGGTGGTTTAAGCCAGTGGTTCTCATCATTCCTGGTCTTCAAGAACCCCTATCCTGCATGTTTTAGTTGTTTCCCTGCTTTGGCACACCTGTGATTGTCAAGCTTCAGACTTAAAAGAACTTGAAGACTTACTGAAGAGCAGGGAAACAACTAAACATGTTTGGAGGTTTTCAATGGAAGTCCCAAATGGAAGAGACCCCCCAGGGCAGACCCAGAGCATGCTGGAGGGATTGTGTATCCCAGGAAGAGCTTGAGATAAAGTTTGAGACGCTCTCGTTTCCTCTCACAGTCCAAACACGCATATTTTTGAATATTTGCTTATTTTTAGTTGTCTCATGTTAGCTCTGTGATGGACAGACAACCTGTCCAGGGTCTTCCCCGTCTCTCTCTCTTTCCAAGACTGGATGAATGGACTTCCCCACACCCCACCGCCTCCCCCTCATGTGACCCTGAACAGAACAGAAACAGAGAAAGAGCAACCATCCATTACGCCCTTCATCCATCCACTCATTCATTAAACAACTCTTCTCTTACCTTGAAAGTCTGAAGGAACAGCTTTTTATGTTTAACTGCCTCTGATGAGCTCTAATATAATCATTTTCTTTGTATATTTCTTTATTAACCAAGCTGCCAAATATTTCATCAGTCAATTAAAAAACATCTGAAAATCTCTCCCAAATTAAAAACAATTCTCATAACTTCCTTAAATTGCATAAAAGTTCAATAAGCAAAACAAATGAAACTTGATGTGTTTAACCTAAAACTGAAATTAAATTAATTCAGTTTCTTTCTGTTGAACATGTCATCAATGACTTGTGTACCTTTACTGTAGAAATTTTCAGTTTATCTGAATTTGTGCTTTTCTTCTTAGTTTAAAGTAAATGCAATGGTTGGTTGATTGATTGATTGATTGATTGATTGATTGATTGATTGATTGATTGATTGATTGATTGATTGATTGATTGATTGATTGATTGATTGATTGATTTTAAATGGCATTTATTTTGGTAAAAGCTCCCAAATACTAAATAATCAGTTAGTTATGAGGAAGAATTTGTTTTTTGCAACATTACTTTTACTTGCTTAAAGGAATAAAAACTAAGAGCTTCAGCAGCTTTCATCAACTCCTTCGTCTCAGTTCCTGGTTGGTCGAATATTTTAGTAATTTTGATTATTTCTATCATTTTTTGCTAAAAATACAAGCAAAAATTGTTCCTCAGAAAAGATGTTTGTGCTCTGATGGCTTTTAAATTGTTCTCTTGCACAAAATAAGTTGAGCAAGTTTTATTTTTTTGTTACCGCTTTGAAATATTTGACCTCAGTAATAAATCAGAGGCCTTTTGTCAAACCACAGGTTTATTTCTTAAATTATTTATCATATCARCACTTAGAATGTATGGATTTAACAATAATGCTCACACATTCATTTGTTTCTGTGTGAGTTTGTAGTTGAAGTCTATTTAGGTGATCCAAAGATCCAAACTGCTGCGGTTTGATAGTTTCAGCCTCACCGTCGATCCTGGGTTCTGGGTTTTGTCCAGCTCTATTTTGAGACGATATCAATTTCAGAGAAAGCCTCGTCTTTGGAGATGTTTGAGTATTATTTACAGATCGTCTACAAATACCTGCTGAGTTTTTAACACTAATTGATTTGTGTGCAGGATATTTTAATGATGCTATTTAAAGAGAGTTAGGGAGGAAGGTTTTTCTGAAAATGTTGGGACCTTCTGAAAAATGTAAATGTTTATTTCTCCACTGGATGGAGCCAAACATCCAGAGGAGTTCTGAACAATTGTCACAAGGCCTGTGGGAGCTCATCAGGTTAGTGCTTCAGACCTCGAGGGAAACAGGAACAATTAGAAACTGGATCACCGCTCCGAGTGAGGAAATGAGATTCAGGACCTGTTAACCTTTAACGTTTGTCACCCCTCTGGTTCCTTCAAGATAAATAGATTTTTTTTTTGTTAAACCCTTCATGCATAATCAATATTTTTGCATATTTTCCCTAAAGTTATAATAATGAGTGACATCATGTTTGTTATTCAGTTATTTGAATAAACTTTGGTGAAGTAATGTATCTGTTTTACCTCTGGAGTTTGCAGGCTAACTGACTGAAAATGAGATGAGAAACAGAAACAGTTTTAAAAGCTGTTTGACTGATTGGGAAGAATCAAAAATCCAAAAAAGATTAAACATGCGGCGTGTGGAAATAAATACTGGGAGCAGAAAAGAGCGCATGGGGAACGTCTCAATTAAAAAGGCTGGAGGGGAGGGCTAAATAGAGTAACAGAATAGGGAAAGAAAAAAAAGTGCCAGAAAGAGAGTGAAAAGTGAGTGACACCATCAGACAGATGAGGACGGAGAGATGAAGATGGAATGAAAAGACTGAAGCTCAGCATGGAGCTAAACTAAATCTGAGAGGAAGATGAGTGTTAGGTGGGAAACAGAGGGTCTCCAGACGGTCGGCATCGTCTGCCTGGTGATCATGTTCCTCAAGCTGATGCACCTGCTGGGCCTGATCGACATCACTGAGACCGGTGAGACAGCATGGGTCTGGGGCGAGCAGGTGGAGAATAGAATAGAAATAGAAATAACCTTTATTGTCCCACCGAGGGGAAATTCAGGTGTCACAGCAGCATCAATACAGAGGTTCACACACTAGTTTACATACTAGACAATGCACACAAGAACRAAATTACCACTAACTAGCAATGATACTACTACTAATAAAAATATGATATAAAAGATTGTGCAAGAATGAAAAAAAGATGTTTGTTTTTGGAGGAGGAAGAGGTCACTTAAATCCACTTGATGACTGATAGAGACAGAATTTTATCAGCATGAGGAAGTCCTGAGTGATTTCTGAGTCGTAAAGTAATGTTCAAACTAGTTTCAGAGGCTGTGTGATGGAAACACAAGTTTAGCTTAGTAACCAGATCATGACCATTTTAATTGCAAAAAAAGCTTAAAATAATTATTTTCTCACACTTCGTTGGATTTTAAATAGGCCTAAATTAGTTCTAAATATCAACAACCACAATAAAACATGCCTTTTTAAATCTGCAACATCTTTTCATGTTAGAAAAGGTACATTTTTCTGTTTTTTTTTTTTTTCAAAAATAAACATTTGATGTGAGAAGAATTGTCCTGTTTTGTAACTTCTCTCCCTCTAGTCCTCCCAAAGTAATTTCCAATGGAAGTTTTTTACAGCTCAGCTGCATGGCTTCAGTTCTTGCCTCAAAATGTAGGATTATAATTTAGTTTATGATTTGGACTCGCTTTTCTTTCATGTCCTGAGATGTTGTGAGTTGTTGCTTTATATGCTAWGTGTTAAGATGGAAACTGCTGCATGTTTCACTAACTAACACTCACATGAGGCTTTCTGATTCACTTTAACGTTTGAGCTGAGTAAATTGTACAATTACTTACAGAATTTTCTAAAACTGAGCAGCAACAGAAGAAAATCATGCAAAACCAAAACATTCAGTGCAGTGTTCACATCATAGATGGCAGAAACATTATTTAAAATATTGAAATTATTCCACAAATGTAGACTTTGGGTTTGGTTGTGCGTGAATATATTGTTTGGCATCAATCTGGTTTGCTTTCAGGCAAATTCAGCAAGATTTTTAGACCTTTAGTCACAAAACTATAATACGAAAAGAAGAAAAATCACAAAAAAGATGCATTTTTTTCTGTGTGCCTTAATAGATCAGCTGTGGTAAATCTCTAAGACTAACAAAGTATTCTCTTCACTGGAAAATATTTTTTATTAAAAAATAAAGTCAAACTTGTAACACAGACAGATTCTTGTCAAAGGAGGTCAAAGTTAATCAGTTTTCATCAAACTAAACGAAGCTAAACGAGCTGAAGGGATGTGAGGTGAGAGAACCTTCAGTTCCAGTTCTGTTGATTCTGGTTAATGTTTCACACTTTGGGTTTGTTCCACTGCTCTGCTGGAGGTTTGAACTGGACTCTTTTGGACCCGACTTGACTTGTTTGCTTTTGTTCTTTTTTTCCTTCTTCTCCTCCTCCTTACTGTCTCTCTCTCACTGTTCTCCATTTACTCTCTCTCAAACCATCTTGGTGTCAACACCACACCACCTCCTCTGTTCTCTTTGTCTAAAGATGGTGAGTATGGAGCAGCAGAAACCAGATGACCTGAGCTAAAACCTCCCAACTTTTTTATTTATTTATTTTATAAAAAAAATTCCAATTTATGCAGTTTTCTCTTGGCATGTTTGAACAGGAGATTAATAATGCTGCAATATTTGTCCTTTATGTACAAACCTAATTCTAGGATGTTCTGTATGTAAATAAATATTAAATGCGCTGATTTGCAAATCTTATAACTTCAATGAAACATAATGAAGCCAAGAAATTGCACCTTGCTTTAAGAAAAGACGGTGTTCACATATAGAGCTTTAAAAAGTTAATTGATGGCATGGAGAACTGTGTGGAAGTACTTTTAGAGTCTTGTTCTTGTAGTTCCAACCTTTTTTTTAGATGTGCTGCTGCCAATAAATTCTTATTTTTTCTTTTTTAATAATAACACATTTTATTGGTTTCAACATTTGACTTGTTCACTGTGTTTTAATGTAAATTAAGTATGGGCTCATAAGATTTGCAAATTGTTGCATTTTTTCATTTACATTTTACACAACTTTTTGGAACTGGGATTGTAAAAAAAAACCCAACAAACTCCTTTTGATTTCTTTAAAAATGTATAAGTTTTGCAGTGTTTATTTAGATATTTTCTTACTAAAAAAAGTCCTTTTTTTTACACCCTGGTCTAAATCCCCAACAAATTTATTATTTCTCATAAATTGCATGTTTTCCCTCTTGTTAAATATGTAAACCCATAAATATGTCACCCCCCCCACACACACACACACACTCACACACACACACACTCGCACAAATATCTGCCTGCATTCACTCAATGTCCGCCTCGTCCTCCCTCCCCTTTTTCTCTCCATCTTTCACTCCCGACATCACTTCTGTCTCTCCTTTCGTCCCCCTCTTCCCGTCCGTCCGTCCATCCCTCTCCTCTCTCTGCCTCTTCGTCCCGCAGACAGCAGCGACAGTGATCTGGAGCTGTCCACGGTGCGTCACCAGCCGGAGGGGCTGGACCAGCTGCAGGCTCAGACCAAGTTCACCAGGAAGGAGCTGCAGTCTCTGTACCGAGGCTTCAAGAACGTAGGTCCAGCTGCTGCCTGGATCATCACAACTATTTATTTTTCTGYAAAGAAACAAAACTGTTTTTTTTATCTTCATCTGTTTCTTTTGTCTTGCGCAGGAGTGTCCCAGTGGACTGGTTGACGAGGAGACGTTCAAGTCCATCTATTCTCAGTTCTTTCCCCAAGGAGGTTAGACTGAAATAATCTCTCCTTTCTTGTCCTTTAAGGATCTGCAGGAGAAATGTTCACACAGTGAAGGGGTGGATTTCATCTTAAAACACACACACACACACACACACACACACACACACACACACACACACACACACACACA